CCCCCCCCCCCCCCCCCCCCCCCCCCACCCCCTCCCCGTCTGCTCTCGCTGCGTTCACCATCCTTTCCCTCCCACTGTCTCTCCGGAGGTCAGAGGTTCAGTCACCGGGCGCTGCCTGGAGGGACGGCCACAGAGAGATAACGCACATAAAGGCCGCAGAGGGAAAGAGGGTGAGACTGAAAGAAAGAAGGGAGAAGAAGCTCGTTCACGTTCACCAAAAATGTGAGAAGCAAGAAAATAGGAAACTATTTTAAAAAAAATATGTTTCAGTGGGAGAACTTCATGCTTTCATGCCATGAGACGTGGTAAGGACATGGGATGGAACATGGGGGGGGGGGGGGACTTTGTCAAGGGGAAATGTGCTATTTAAAAAGTATCACTATGTTCTAATGTATTACATTGGCCTTTTGTGGTTGAATTGAAATGAATAACCTCAACACTGGGTCACAGAGGTTGCTGTCCTGATCTCATAGGCTGACCTGATGATGCCCTCGGTTACGACATTAACGTCCCACTTTTCCTCGTGAGCACAAGGTTTTTCATAACTGGCACTGCTTAGTCATTTTTGTATGATCCATCTTTGGATTTGCTGACTAATATGCTCAGTAGTGAGAAAATCACTAAATACGGCAGGATCACAGACTCATAATATAATTTCAACACTTCCCAAATCTCGGCGCTCTGTGGTGATCTTAGCTTGCACGGTAAGTGGGCTTGAATTGTTTGCAAGTGGATTACGGGTCGGTCTCAATTTCCATTTGCTGCGAAGAGTATTTTTAACTCACTTTTCTCTCCTGTTCGTGCTGCACACACCCATCGTCACACATTCACACATCAGCAGGCTCACTAAACTCACAGGCCCCTCCGATCGTATCTCTGTGAGCTGATTAGCTGTTACATGTCCAAACCGAAAGTCTCTGGAAACGGCTGTTTGTTTAACTATTTTTTATTATTTTATTTTTTATTATTTTGATAGTGGTGTGATCATGAAAGGAATTTTTCAGTTTCAAATTGATAATTTATTGATTCTTGAACATACCAAAGTTAAAATTAGCGGAATGACTTAAGACTGAAGTTTAGCAAACCACAAGATATTTTATTAAGAAGGTGTCTCAGCACTAATATGTATGTCAATGTATTGCATGGATCTGTATGGAAGTTAAAGATCCAGCCCTTTTAGTGCAAAGTGCCCAAATCAGTTTCTGAGAAAAGATTGGAGGGTAACATGCAACAGAGGAATGAAACAACTGTCACTTTTCATAATTCTCTTTAAAAAGCTGATAAGATTAGATAAAATGTCAAGCTCAGCATATGGACTGTCATTTTTTCTGGAGTTTTCTTTTTAATTATTTTTTTTCTTCTTTTGTGATTTCCAGATGCTGAGAGAAGGAAAGCAGGCATATGATGAGAACATCCACTACCCTCTCCTCATTACCTTGACCAAAGGACCTCAACCTGACCGCCACGCCCAGTAAACCAAAACAAGCGAGCCGTTGGCTGTACACGTATATAGCGCCTTGTAAACCAGCTGAGAGCTCCAGTTTCTCACAAGAAGTATGAACCTCATAGCCAAACAGTCAACATCTGCATTCCACAATCAGTATTCTGCCTCTTATCCACTCACCGTTTCAGCCGACAAACAAACTAGCGGTTCATTCCTGTTTATTCCTTGGCCTCCATGTGTCAAATATCCAGTCAGTTGGTTCCCTTTAACCATTCACTGTTACCTCATGCCACTGTGTTTCTGGCCTCAGCATGGACACCAGCTTTAATTCACGGAGAGTCACTAAGTGGGGAGCAGCACACAGTTCCGTCTATTTCCACCTTTAATTTAATTTAATTTAATGCAGCGCTTTCATAACAGTCAGAGGTCATTGCTAAGAACTTTATTTGTGTATTTCAGTGCATTAGCGCATTTAGACACCAGGAGTTCCAGCTCCCAGGAGCAGAAGATTGCATATTACACAAGGCTATTGCCAACGGCAAAAGGAGTCCCCATTACATCACATCGGAATTCATTTCACACAACTGGTATTGGATCTTTTTTTTTTCAGTATAATATTTTGTGTGATTTGTTCATTTATGTAGACACTGTTGGCCTTTGCATATGAATCCCATTGTTTACTTTAATTGTATGATGGAAATACATAACACATTTATAATGACTACATATCACAACACACCAACAGTACATGATCACCCCAGTTTGTTATGTATACAATACACACATCGAAAAGGCTGGAGCGAATCCATTGTACTTTCACAGATATTAACCATTTTCTGATTTACCTGTATTTCACCCTTACAGCACCACAGGATATTACCAATTCACCCTGTTTTAGCAGTTTTTTTTCCAAAGTATGAATATTATTGTGTTAAGTAATCTGAACTGAGAGACAACTCAGCTCTTGATTTGCTCAAAATACAGCTTGTATGTTGAGCAAATGCAGTTTTGATTTGTCACAAGTTTAAACAAAAAGTGTTTGAATTTTCATATCTACTGTGTTCACGTCTGCCTCAGATATGTCGTGTTAACTGTGAAGATTTTGAATCAAAGCATCCTTGTGCATCTGTTAGTATGAAACTGCAGGAAATGTGCACAGGTTTTCATGGCATACACCGCGGCAGGTTGTTAAGACCTGTACAGTACCTTTTGTATTTAGTGACCCAATACTGTGGAAATTATTAGGATTTTCTTGTTTGTGAAATTTGCCTGTCTGAGTTTGTAAAACAATCGAGACATCATCGTTTCACTAATTATTCAAAATTTTTAAAATAACATGCTGAATTTGGCAAGAGCTAAATCAGTGAAATACAGCCATAAAATATCTATTACCACACAGTGACCATAAATTTACGGTAAAATGTATGAGAGTAAACATGTAAACTCCTGAATTTGCTCGATCTCCAAATAAGGGAAATCCGCTATAACAGGAAGATGGTGTTCTTTACATCCCCTACTGAAACATCACACAAATAATACAATTTTTTTTATCAACTAAGTGTTCTCAGGTGTGTTCTCATACATAAATCTGTTTTCTGCTTCCGTATAAAAGCCTCAGTAGGTCAGTTGAAAGAACAGCGAGTGACGTGATTTCATATTTCACTGTGATTAAATGCTGTGCACTACAGCCACCAAGCTATGCAGTACCTCCCTGTTGTTGCTATTGATATTTCCTACACTGAAGATTATTCACATAAGGAAATACAAAAGTGACAACTCAGAAAGAAGGATCCGTTGCAAAAGTTGAAAAGCTGGAAAGAGCTTTGAAATGAGATTGACAGTGTTCGAAATTCCTGGGCTAGTGTGTGACCACCTTCCTCACTGTGACTGTGTCCAGTGGTTTCATCACTGTGTAAGTGTGACATCACCAGCAGCAATCCTGGTTATTTTCTAACACCTCAGCACCTGCTGCCACTGGTGCCACTGGTTACACTGGCATTCATGTCATATTGCTGCTTGTTGCAAAATCACTGCCTCAGTTAGTGGCCACCTTCACTCTGCTGTGATGTCACGTGTTCACATGGTGATGCCCTCACTTATGGTAATAATTTACCACTCCTCGCGGCTACAAGTATTAACCGACTTTAACATGATCTTTAGTTGTATTTGTTCACAAATTGATTAGAGCAGTATATGTGTTGAAGCTGAAAATTTGCTCAGGATGACAAGGAGTGGGCAGTTTCTTTAAAATACCCAATTGCATTGACTAATTTCTCCGTAATCTGTCATTTAAAAAAAGGAATTGAGTAATTTAGAGTTGATTCTGGGTCAACAGGATCATGATGAGTCCCTTTATACCTGTGAGAATGCTTTAATTCAGGGCTGACAATTGTGTGGCACCATAAACACTTGAATAAGTGGAGGTACTTAAATTAAATACTTCAACTGATCCAGTGTTACTGTGGACATTGCCTCTTATTGTGCATTTCTTCAATTTCTTTGTGCTCTACTGTATTCAGAAGAGGTTGAATTTTCAGTTCTGTTGCTGAATTTGTTTTTGGTGAACAAATGAAATAAATACCTTTTCTCCAAAAACGTTGGACTTCCCTCTGTGAATCATCAAAATCAGCTATTTTCATTATGATTTAAAAACATTTTATTTCAGAATTACAAAGGAAACACTTTTTTTCCTTCTGTTGTGCCCATGACAAATGAATGTCAGTGTAACTGTCCATTTTTGTTGTTTTTCTCTTCCCAAATGGATGGCTGCCTGTGAAAAACAAATGATCCATTAAAAAAAAAAAAATCTTGCTTTCAAAACTCTCAAATGTAATGAAGTTTTCCTCAGACCCAGATCATCTGTGGCCTGGGTTCCAAACACAATGGTTTCCTGCAGGCTAAGCTGGTTTCAGACAAGGTAACACGCACAGATACGTGCACATGTGCTCAAACACATACACACATATCTCGCCCAGTCAACTGTCTACCCCTCCACAGGAAGAAAAGAGAGGGATAAAGGAGGGAGGGAAAGCAGAACACAGCAGTTAATCCTGCAGCCTCTCTCTTCTGTTTATCTGTCAGAAGAAGGGAGGGAGAATTCATAGAAGGAGGGGGAACCAGTGAGGCCTCCTGATCTGTCTTTTGATATTTTAAAGAGGTCTGTTCTCTCCTCCCCAACATTGTGCTGAAGAGGCAGAGAGAAGAGATAGAAAAAGCCACAGAGAGATGCAAAGAGAGAAAGACAAAGGCAGGGAAAAGACAAGAGGGCAACATAAATTGTACAAGACACACTGAGTGGCTAGAAGGAAAGGCAAAGAGAGAGACAGCTGGAAATGAGGGAAAACTAGATCGAAACAGCGGGGAAAAGCTTTAGCAGGGAAATAAAAGTAGCTGACTGAGAGACGGAGATTGACTGGCCAAGTGAATGATCGAACGGAGAAAAAGAGAGACAGAGTGCTCCCAGCTCGACACAAGGGCCCCATTAACTTGACCACTTGCCCTTTGCACACAAAGGCAGGGCCAGCCCACTGCCCCTCCCACCCAATTATCCACGATTAGGCTCAGTGCACTGTGTCAAGATGGAGAGGGAAGGAAAAGAAGAGAGGGGAGAAAGGCGAGCACACGGAGGATGAAAAAGGGGACTGAGGGAGTAGAGACAGAGAGGAAGAACTTGAGGCTGGTATGTGAGCGGTGGATGGTGGGCAAAGAAATAGTTGGTAATGTTTAATCTATTGTTGTGATGGAATATCCTCCATGCAAGTACGTGCATCAAATGCAAACTACACAATACACCCGGAAAACTTGACTGTTGTTTGTCCGCTGTAAATCTCTGGTCCAAGTTACTTTTGTTTGATTAAGTATTATTTTTCATTAATTTCCCAAGCCTCACCCATTTAAATTAGTTATATTTATAGTAGCTGAATCAGTTTGATATTTCTAATTAATTTGGGGAATATTGAAGCACCTGTATAATTTACCATAGTATATCAAAAAATGTCTTCGGCTCAGATGAGTGATGAGAAAATTAAATAGGCCTACAATGGCCTTTTGAATAACAACAGTTAGTCCGGTATTTAATCTCATTACTTTTTATCTCTACAAAAAATGAAATATTTTTTCTGTTGTATGTTGATCATTAAGGTGGATGTTAAATATGTTTTTAAGGCTGAGACGGGTAAGAAGTCATACCATTCTCAACTGAATATGTTTCTACATCCTTCTTTCACATTTATGTGAGCAAACCCTCCTCATTTTCCTCACACATTAGTAGACATGGCCAAGAAGTCCCTGTCAAAAGCACTGGACGTGGGCTCTGCAGCAGCTCGCTTATGCTCATCACGTTGTGCTTGTTGATACTCTGATGCCTGCTAGCTGGCATCCCGAGGGCCAAAAGCTGGTTGCCACTGTCTCAGTTTTTGCCGGCACTTCCTCAGGAATAGTTATACACACACAGAGACTTTTTCAGTCGCTCTCCAAAAAAAGATTTGATTTTTTTTTTCATACAAGACAAAAAAGAGGAGTGTCATTAAACTGGGTAATCACTGCTCTGTCTAGTCCATTGATTCTATTGGATAATATTTTATTCTAAATAGCTTGGACCAAACCTTGTGCACAGCTGTTTAAAAAGAATGACATGATTAGATTTGCTCAGGCTTATTAAGATGAAATATTAATTTCATTTGAGGAAGAAAATATACATATAATACATATTTATAAATCCCTATGCATTTTCCCCCTCACTCCCCCTGAATCGGCCTAGATTCAGAGGTGGTGTGGACCAGGTGGGCTCAGGTGACCACGACACAAACATGAATTAAAACCATCTGTATAATTTCTGGGTGCAGAGTTGTGTGTGTTTCACAAAGCAGCATGACACCCACCCACCCGACCTCCTCCTCCTCCTCCTCCACCACCCTCACTCTGTCCATGGCTCCGAGTGACTCAAAACCTTTCAAGCCTTTTCCTCTCTCTTCTCCACCTTTGGGCAATTTAAGGAGGGCTTTTTAAACGATCTGCTCATTATCAGTAGTGGAGTCACTCTGCTTTTTCAGCTCTGTCTGCTTGCTTTCCTGCTTTCTAACACCCTCCCCCCCACCCCCCCACCCCCCCCCCCCCCCCCCTTTACTTCTCTTTGTTTTTAAGGGGCTTCCGGTGCTTGTACCCCCTCCTCCCCGGCTCCCGTTCCTCGAGAATAGATTTTTGATCTGTTTGTTTGTGCTCGTGAAGTGGAATTCACAAAAGTCCCTGAGAGCATTTTTATTTATTTATTTACTTATTTATTTCATTTCAAAAGCCATCGAGTATGAGTTGACATGGTTGAGTGGGAGCTACTCCCAGCTCCCACACACGTATAAAAACACGCACATCTGATGCTGGCCTTGACGACAATAATGTGTTTCACTACAGCAGAGGGAAGGGAGAAATATGTGGAGGTGGAATTCTGCAGTATTAATGCAGTCACCTTAAACTGAGTGCAATGGGATACTGCTTTAGTGTGTTTTTAATGATGTGTATATATATATATTTTTTTTTTTCTTCTAAAAACAGGTTTCTGTGCTTCCTGTGGATTCTGTTTAGCAGCTGTGTAGACTCCCATCTGTTCTCTCAGTGGCTTGGACGGCTTTAGCCCACTGGTAGTTATCCCCCTCTACCTGTTCAGCCTTTCCATCTTTAATGCCCATTAAACCTCTCGATCTGGATATACAGGAGGCTGCTCAATCACTGACTTATTAGCTGACTAACGGGAGGGAGCTGAGGTTAGTCTGGAAGCCAGCAATACACACGCATGCAAGCAATTTCAAAGTGATGCTTACGCATGAGCTTATGGCAGTGGGCTGCTAATTGAAGGGGCTGTTGCTGTTGACGAAAGCACTCAACATATTGCTGATTAGGTCAGGCATGGTGGAAACAAGAGACGCACAGGGAAAAGGAGAAACGGGCTTTAGGACTTACAAACCAACACAAGTGGTTGATGTTGGTGAAGAGTCCTTCCTATAACTGTTGACAGTCTCTTGTGGCTGTGTTTACCCTGCCGACAATGAGAGAGGGCCAACATTAACCTCCGCAGAAGCAGTGCAGAATTAACACCTGCCTCTCTGCATACCAGCAGCTCCTTTGCGTCCCATTGTCTGCCGCTGACTCCGCCCGTCGGTTAATCAGCCAGGCCGTCAGTCAGAACACACAGCTGGCTTTACATTCAAGGATTAAAGTAGAATCCGGTTGCCATTCAAGAATTAAGTTTTGTAATTTAAGCGGGGTTTGGGGAGGTCGGTGTCAAAAACAGGATCCGTGGCTCATGGAGGTTTGTGTCAGTTACGGCGGAATGGATATGGAAAGTGATTGATCACTAAAAAAATTACCAGGGAAAATTGTATTTCACTCTTCAAGTTTTATTTTACCTACAAACCACTCAAGTGATCAGATTTATTTGCACATCAGTGACTTTCTGTGATGCAACAGTGACTTCACAGATGGTTCTCCTGAACTGCATGTATCTACTGTCCATCTTTGGCCAGTTTTCAGGCCACCTGGAACGTGGGTTTGCTGCCGTTTGGATTATTTAATGCTATCCCAGATAGATTTATCAAAATCAGGGTAAACCTTTGAGAATTCCGAGTGCTTTAAACTAATTTCATCAATGTTTGTTTGCAGTCATTGTACTTCTAAAAGGTTTCAGACTAATTTTTCCACTTCCAGTAAGAACAACACTCCATCTGCCTCCTCACCTTGTAGTTTCCCTCCTTCCATCATTTATACCTCTTATTTCTAACCCTCCCATATGCCCCTCTTTGGCCTATATGTCTGTGGTCTCCAGGGTAACAGCTCTAACCTGCCAACCCATATTCCTGTAGGCCAGGGGGCCATTAGGGGCCAGTCAATGAGCCTCTCTTCCTGCCACAAGTGGTGCTGGCGGAATGGAGAGGGCCCTCGTCTCTGCTTTGAAGGTCAATGAGGCCGCTGCCCAACACTCTGCCTCTGACTCTTACCCCCAACCCCCCCCATGCCACTTCTATTAGCACTGCAAAAGTTAGAATTGAAAATGGTGTTCAGCTCAACCACAATAGACACGAGCATTGTTGGAAGCTCCAGCTCTGGGCGCTCATCAGGGATGTAACAGTCGAATCTTACGCAGGTTAAATGCTTTTCTTCCTTGGACAGTCAGACAGGCGTACTTTTAAACATATTTGTATAACTTCAATTGTGGGCAAATGCCGTATGCCAAAAAGGTTCTACTGGCCCCTTAGATCCATTTTGACAGATGTTTATGTCTGGTAACTACCATTTTTTATATCTTCTGTAGACTTAAAAGGATCTTTTTCTACCTACCTTTCTTTGCTTTATTTATAATATTTGTGTAAAGCAGTTAAAATACAAATAAATACACTCAAATGTAATACACAATAATCATCTGATTGCAAAAACTACAGTTTAAAATTTTGGGCCTGGTGCTGGTACGTGTTACCCTACAGGGTGGCATGCACCTGTTCCAAACAATTTTCCGGCTATTCTGTTTGGGGGAGGTAAATACTCCGGCAGCCACTTGTCTGCCTCCTCAGGGGGAAATGTACATAGATTATGTC